TCATCAATAAAGTTTAATATCTGGCGCTGCAGCCAGATGCTTCCAATAAATAATAAATAAGTTCACTGTGTGTGCGATGCTTTTTGATAATTTCATGCGCATTGTACATCACTAGTTTTGATTTTGGGTACATATCAGCCTAGTACTATTTTTTACCATTACAATGGACCGGGCTTGGGCCGGGCATAGTTTGAAATTAAAACCTGGCCCGGCCTATACTTATGGGCTTTTTTTTTAATGGGTCGGGATTGGGCTTGTAAATATTTTTTGGGCTCAGTTTTGGGTCCATGTAAGCCCGGCCTGACCTGGCCCATTCTGTCCCCTATCATAAATATTGAATAAATTAATAATGTTTGATCTTATATATATTTCATAATGTTAATCGCCTTAATATAATTTGCATCATATTAAAATATTTAATGTTTGATATGTTTAATAGAACTTACTATTCATATAACTAAAACAAATTATTAAAAAGCAGCATTTGAAATAATGTTAGCTATCAAAAAAAATAATAATAAATAAATAAAATAACTGTTATTTGATATTTTTTTAGGAGGTATTAAATCTATGAAATCATAGTAACTTCAAGTATAAATATAATTATTGAAAGTCCAAAGCAGATATTTCACAATCGACCTGTTGTGATACTATATAAAAATAAAATGCAACATATTATAACCTTTAATAAATTAGAAGTACATTTTGCAAAAGTAAAAATCATATTATTTACCATAAGTTTTGCTTTCTTTGATATAAAATGAAGAAATCTTTACTGAATTTACAGGATTAGGAAGGTTTGAATACTTAAGACGCCTACTTTTATAAATGTCATTTATGTGAATTTTATTAGCATCTTCAAATTTCTGCATTTTTATTTCATTATCAGTTTTATTGAACAATTTTGTAATCTCTTCATCACTATACCAAATCTCTAAAACCTTTTCTATCTCACTGGCTGTTGGACGTTTAAAAGGATCTGCATTCATACATTGGTTTGCTAAAGTAATATAAATTTGTGGTGTTTTTTCCACAAATTTTGGCCGAAGACCATTACATATGGCACATGCAAGAGCTATACCATGTTCTTGATCATGGTATGCAGGTTTTCCTGTATTAATTTCAGACATGATTACACCAAAACTGTATATATCAGCAGCCTGTGAATAAGGATTGTGTTTGAAAACTTCAGGTGCTATGTACGGTAAAATACCATAAATATCACCTTTTACAAAATTAGATTGGAATGCAGGTTGAGCCAATCCCAAATCTACAATATAACAGTTGTATATTTCATTTTCCAAAAGTGTTAAAATATTTCCACTATGTAAATCTTTATGAACCAGATTTAAACTATGAATTGCAACAAGTCCACGAATAATGCTAATTAAACACTCTAATCTTTTTTCCCAATCTGAATTTGCAATTTCTTGCAATTGATTTCTTAAGCTTCCGTCTTCAATGTATTCCATCACTATCAGCATAGCGGGCTTTATTATGATTGGTTGATTTTGAAGATCATCTCATCATATTAAAGTCTTATTAAAGTAACG